AGAACCAAAGTAGAGGAAGAGAGAGGCATGTGTGTGAGTATGGGCTCAACTCTTACCGAGTGGGTGCAGCTTTTGCCGCAACCATTTCATGTGGACATCAGAGTCCACATTCTTCAGTTTTTGAAAGAGGACGTGTGCCAGCAACTCCTTAAGGAGCACCCACACCTTAACACTGGACTGGGGCTGCAACATCAGTCCTTCTTGTTCTGAGGCTCTCAGCTTCTTGGAGTGACTGCAGGGGACTAGTGAACTGCTGATTGTGTGAGCCAATCTAACTAATCCCTTTTGTAATGATACACACTTACACTGGTTTTGTTTCCCTGGATAACTCTGTCTATAGTAGGCAGGAAGTTGAGGCTAGGGTGAGAGTAATGCCCTTATAGGAACTGAAATAAGAATCTGGCCACGTCAGAGTAGGTCCTTGTTGGGGAGAAAGCTCTGATGCCTTCTACCATATGACTCTTTCCTTCACCGGATCCTAGAGCATCATCTTCACATATTCACCATGAGGACCTGGAGGGCTTCTTGTAAGGAAAGCTTGTGAAGATGTGGGGGCCCTCTCTAAGACTGTGACCCACAGGAGTTTATCATCTTTATGCTACCCCACGCTCAGCCTCCAATAAATCAAAATGATCATTTTAAGTGTTCTTATCAGTCGATGGCTCCACAAGCTTCTGTTCCAGGAAAGCAGATCTTGACTGAGTCTCTGAGTGCCTCAGCTCTCCAGATTTCAGGGTGTCAGTGTGTCCTGCAACCTTGGTTCCCTGGCAGGTCCAAGAAAAGTCAATGATTTTTCTAGTTTTCTCTTGTCACAGAAATGGTAACGATGCTTTTCAAGTTCTTTATATATAGATGAGGCTGGAAGTGACAAGTGAATTTCTAGTTGCCAGTTCCTTCTCAGTTCTCCCACCTTAGCACCCTCCTACCTACAGCAAGAAGGAAAGGCAAGCGATCAGCACTTCCACGCCTTTACTAAGGACTCCCTGCGTCCCTAGGAGCCATGTACTTATTCAAGGCAGTCAAACGTTGCTTCTCAGCTCAACACTCTGTCTTCACTGACCATAAACCAAGGACTATCAATCTCTTAGATTCCTTTCAACACTTGTCAAGCTCTATCACTTATTAATGAATCAAAACATCTTCTACTGCAGCGCCAGTTCTGCCTGGTAGTAATTTACCCACAAATCACTCCTTTCAGCCCCCTTTCACTACAGTCTTCACTTGATACATATCTATCATTTTTGTATTGTGTAGTTTTGGATCTATAAAGGAGGAGAGTGGCATAGGTCACAGTGAGGCCGAATAAGTTGAGTATTTTCACTTTATGATTACTCAGCAAGTTATAAGTGACCCGAGGGCATCTAAAAGACATCTGATGCCTGAAATGTCTTGAAATGGTTTGCACTGCCAATCACACTCCGGGGGATATAGATTCAGCCCTTAGACCAATGCAGGTGTCCAGTCATGACACAGTCAAGTGCCTTACAGGATGTGCAGTTCTGAAAGAAGAGGGAACCTATTGCTGACACAATGATATAAAGAGAGGGTGACATCAAACTGCACACTTTTGTGGGTGAAATGCGATGGCTTTCAACGCTAGGAAACTGTCAGGCCCAGGGCGGTGCCTGCCCGACATGGTGCAGGGCCCTAGAGCGACAGCACATCCCTTCAACACTGACTTCCGCACTCTTCTTTCAAGCTGAGCTGAACTTCCTGCTCTTCTCACTTACCAGCATCTCCCAATCAGCTGTCACTACGTCATTCTGCCCGCCCCTTCAAACTCCACCCCTCCTGTCAAACCTAATAAATGCCCAAGGGCTTCTTCCTCTGTCTCGAAGGGATCTTGAACTCTTCTGCAGTTCTCCCATGTGTAAAATAAAGATCTTTTTTTCCTTTTTCTGCTTTTGTTGTCCTACTGTGCCATAACCCCTAACAAATGTGCGCAATCTTTGTTTTTGTCTGTCATTTAACGCCGTGGTTGAAGTAAAACTCTTTCAATAGATTTGATTTGGGTGTGATCCTGTCTGTCAGTAGGTAAAATGCCCTTGTGTTCTGGAGACTGTATTTTTTTAACTTCCCTGATTGTTGACAAAATGTGAAAATAAGTTGAGAAGAAAACTTACTTTATATTTTAAGCCCCAAGTGTCAGATCACCTCTTTCAGTATAGAGTTAATTATAAACATTTTCCAAGAATTTTTGTGTACCATATATGCTATGTAAGATGAAGCTAGAAATGCCAAACTGCCTGAGAAGTTTCACATTATTTCATGCTAGTACATTTCCCATAGAGGAGAAAAAATATTCAAAGTACTTCTCAAGTCTCTTTATTTGCCTCAAAGCAAAAAGTTGGGTTACCCTCATGGTGATTACAATCTGAACTAACACACAGCTAACACAGTGAACGTTCTGGCTTGCTATATAGGGAGTAGTTATATCCCAAGGTAGGATAGAAGAGTTAACAGCTATCTTCCTTTGATCTCAAAATAGAATCTGACTAAAACTTATTTGGTCTTACTGAAGCCCCTGGAAAAACTGGAGTTGTAAATGTGTTTTATTAGTAAATCATGTTTTCTCAGTAAGGCTCCATAGTTGTGCCAATATCTTACCATTGAACCTTTGGCCTACCTAGTTAGCAGCTTGCCCTTCCACGAGACCCTGGAATATGATATGGGTTCAAGAATTAGTAAGAATGATGACCTAGATTGAGTTTAAGAGCTTTTTTTTTTTTCATAAGTTTGGTTTTAAAAATCCAAACATGGAAAAGGTGCAAGTGATTGGCTTTGATGTACCATTCTGTCATGTTGATCAGAGAAATATGTCTGCGGTTGGCTATGCTGATCATGCTGATAAGGTGAGATGCCTGCTGGACCAGAGAAGTGCAGAGTCTGCTTTTCACACACAGCCAGGCTGTCACCCAGAAACCCCTTCATCTACTACAGGAAGCAATGATTCTTGAAACCAGGATTAATTCTACAATTCTAGACTCTAAGCTTTGAAAAGCTTTCTGTCTCAGCATTCTTTCCCCCTGGTCTATTTGGTCCCGTGTTTTTGTTAATTCTGTGCCTTTCATTGTAGAGTCTTGAGTTTCTCATTGTGGAGGGAGGAGCTGGGCATAATGAAATAAAAAACAAGCTTATTTATTTGTTGGATCTATTCTGAACAAGTAAGATGTGCCCAGTGTCATAACTCTGCAGGTTCTTGTCCCTTTGAGTCCTTTTACTTTGCCGTTTATTACATGTGGGTTTTGCTCTTGGCTCACACATCACAGCAGGTCCTTACGCTGGTCAGGAAGATGTTCATGCCCGTACCTGAAAGGATCTCTGTAAGGTGCAGTTTCCTCGGCATGGAGTTTTGATGGATGAGTTGGTGTCATGACTTAGAACGAAAGTGCCAATGGCAATTTTCAAACCAGGAAACTTCATTTTATTCCCCTGTTAGGTTTCAGACTGTTTTCTCTGTTACTGTTACTAGCAGTGGCATTTGGCTTTTCTTTTTTCCTGCAGGGCTGTTTACAAGAAGCAGCAGGCAGGGAGTTAGTCATACCATGAACAGAGGATGGCAGCGCAGTGCTCAGAGCAGATGCCGGCCCCCTGACTAGCGAAATGACTCATATTTTCTCAGAGGACATGCTTCAAACGTGTGCTCCAGAGCATGTGAAGCCAAGAACGTGCTGAGGAACTTCCCAGGTTCCTGTTCTATGGGTGAAAGTAACCTCTGTATTCATACGATGTCCGGGATCTGTAAGGGTAATACTCACTGTTGGCTAAGTGCTTACCTTGCTCAGGTTCCTGCTCAAGGGCTTTCACGTATCATTTTAAAACTACGACTGTCTCAGTTACGTAGTATTTTCCTCATTTTATGGGTTGAGAAACTAAGGTGTTGAGAATAAACTTACTAAGGGTCTGTAGCCTGGATTCTAAATACCAAAGCTCTTCATTTCTGTTCTGCATTGAAGAAGCTCAGCTGGAGGCAGGAGAGGGTAACTCTCCAGTGGCGCGAGGGACTCCAGTTCTGTGTCTCTCCACACCACCGTAGCCCATTGCTTCTCTTCTGGTGATTGTCTCCAGGTGCAAAATAGCTGCTGGGTCTCCAGCGGTGACATCCACACTGCAGTTGAGAAGAAGGCAGAAGGCAGAGGGACCAAACAGCCACTTTCCTCATGTCTCAGGCCACAACTTAGTCGCTTAGCCACTGGAGGAAGAGGCTAAGCAGCAGTCTTTTATTCTTGATGGTAGTGTGCCCAGGTGAAAATTTGTGGTATTTTATAAAGGAGAATTAGGAGAGTGGGTAGCTAGAAGGGTATGAAACTGGCATTCTCGACTGGGTTTGAACCTGGATTGTCTGAGTCCACAGGCACTCTCACTCATTTATGAGGCTCATTCTTGGCATTGTGCTTGCTTATTTACTTATTTGGGGCTGGGGATTGAACCCGAGGCCTCTTTCTTGCTAAGCAAGCTTTTTACCCCTGAGCTATGCCTCGACCCAGCCCAAGTGTCTATCCTGGCATTTCCTCCAGCAAGTGGTCTTTTTTGCTTTCAGTGTCTGACATAATACTGGTCATTGTCCTCAAGAGATTAAGGGCTTTGATAAAGGCTAACTTTTGGCAGAATAAGAGTGCTAGTGAATAGTGAGGGAAGGTGAGAGGAGGGCTAGGATAAAGAGAAGGTGTGGACCTAACAACACAGTTCAACCGCAGGCCTGGAAAGATCTGTCTGGCTCTTTCTTTGCAGAAAAAAGCCTTAAAATCTCAGGCACCCTGGACTGCAAATGTATATGGTGCTATCACTTTTCTGCCTTCATTATATTAATCATTTCCTTAAATAAACTAATGCTTAAAAGAAAATATAAAATGAAGAAATTTCACAAAACTCATGCTGGTAATGGTAATGAAAATTCTATCAGCAAAAGCACATTTGATTAATCATATACATGCATGATTTTTCTCTTATGCCATCTGTTTAGAAGATGAAAAATATTCTGCTGGTAGTTTGGCAGAAAGTATATTTATAGAAAGACTTTATTTATAGTCTGCCAGTGGATTCTAAGCCTGCCATGACATAGCTTTCAGAAGTAGGTAGGCTGAAATGTTCAAATATTAATGCCAACAACATTCTTATCATTAAAACATGAAAGTTAAAATGTTTTTACACTCAGTTCATATTTTGGAGTCTGTGGCTGCAGCATAAACAATCTATTTGGAACTCAACTTAAATATATTAGAACAGAATTTGATGTCCTTGGTTCATCTCTGTGATTGATGGTATCTAAATGATTCTGTTTAGCCAGTTTTATTTTCTCGCTATTCAGCACTAAAGAAAACAAGGCTTTGCTCAGAGAACATTTCCACAGAATTGAATACATGTAATCACTGATTTTTAGTGTTGAAGAGATCACATTACAGGAATTCTACAATAACAAGCAAAATTCTACGAGGCGGAATCGAGATCTTGGGTCTTTGCTATCCACACATTAGAAGCAGAGAGATGATTAAACAACAACACTAGCTCCTTTTAAAAAAGAATTCAGTCCCTTGTCCATTGTCAGCATCCTTATCCATGCACATATTAGTGAGTTAAAGTTTTCACTGCCCTCGATTATATTTTATCCTTGGGGATGCCTGTGTAAGCTATCATACCACTTGAGGCAAAAGAAAACTCAGTGGTTTTTATGGGTGGTTTTGTGGGTTTTATGAGAAGCAGATGAAGCAGTTTGACTCTGGAAGTATTCTGGAAAGTGGCTGTCCTGCTGTTCTTGGCTGTCTCAAGAATCACCCATACATAGCAGAAATATCTCCTAAGGATACTTTGTATGGTCTGCCAGTGTGAAATCTTGCTATGTGGTCCATAAGATGAGTCAGATCTGTAGTAAATAAAAACATATTGTGAGGTAAGAGGTCAGGTCTAGAAAAACTGAACACTGCACGTTTTTGATAAAGTTGGATCTCTTCTAATCTTTCCAGGAATAACTCTAGTGAGCAAAGATACATGTACAACTAGCAACATGAGAAAAATAAGCTTTGCATTGTGTCCAAACTCAACCAGTCAGAACCTCCAGGAGACAGGCTGCTGTACTTAAAAGAAAATAATATCCTATTCGTAGAAAGTCTCTTCTTTTAGAACCCAGAATCACATTAACAAAATAATTGCACGGGATGAGTAACGTGTGCGGTTCTCCGGGTGTTGGAAGGGATGGTGGGAAAGGACATTTGGATCCATAGAGAGGAGGTTCCTCCTCCAGGGCCTGTGAGGAGAGAGCCACAGGTTAATACAGTGACACGCGGGTGCAGAGCTCACCTGGAAATGTCAGGCTCTGCGGAGCTTTCTCAGAAGCAGAGGCCTGAGCCTGGGTCGAGACAGGTGGACCGGAAAGGGGGCAGGTGTGGGAAACATTCTGACCCCTGTGTCTGCTTTGAACTTAAAGGGACATGTGCTGTGTCTGTGCAGACGTCACAAGGTCCTTCCTGGACAGTAAACCACCCTGTCTGAGTACTGTGTGGCTGAGGGCAGCTCAGACGCGAGCTTGGTCCTCCGTTTCATCTCCTGACACATTTGTAAGAACCAGAGAGGAAGGAGGACGTCACCAACATTAGTGACTACCATTGAGCACAGTCCTATCACAGACCAGGGCTGAGCACATCACAGCTGTCATCTCTGCGAATCTACAGGGCTACTTTGCAAGGGGGATTTTAGGGAGATTTTATTACTTGTCTTACATAAAATAATTCTCTAAACCTTTATTCCTGAAATCAGAATTAGGCAGAAAATTGGACTGAGTTCAGAGAAGTGTAAGACAAGTGATTAGGAACTCGGCAGGAGAGAAAAACAAGGAAAGGGCAAAGTTACTGAGTGTGCACGGCTAGATGAAGGCCGAGTCCAAAGGACACAGTGTGGAGCTCTCTGAGAGCATGTCCTGCAGGAGCTGAACAGGAAACACATCTGGGCGACAGTGTGGAGTTAATCACCAAAAATGACTCTTAACTGAAACCCAGAGGCGCTGCTTTATCACAAAGGGCTCATCTTGGAAAGCACATTGTAGATGAAAGGTAGACGCAAAGCAAACCAGACTTGTAAATACTGCAGTACGTGTGTTAGGGCTGAGACAAAAAGCACAAACCTTGCTGGCCACATTCCGGGGTAGCACCGGACTGTCCTCTGAATCCCACAGAATTCCTGTAAAGCGCGGGTTAACCTTCTCTTCTGTTTTCCTTCATCTTTTCTTTCTGCCTCCAGAGGGCGCCAACACCCCATCCCTGGGACGCGCGAGTCCCACACTGCTGAGGACCTCTGACTAGGGAAAAAACCTGGTTATAGACCAGTAAACCAGGAAGGAGACTTCCTACTTTAGTTCCAAATATCAAAAAACAAACAAACAAACAAAAAACAAGTTGTATTTCCTTTAAGCCCAGCCTGATCATTTAAACAAAAACAGTCTGGGAGAGGAAAACTGGGGGACAGCTCTCAGGGTCCCTAAATGAGAGAGCCAGCGTGCAGCTGAATTCCAGCCCTTATCCTCCACCGTGCCTTCCCGCACACAGGGTGTGTTGCTTAAGTCTTGGTGTGAGATTGAAAAGAGACTTTAGTTTGTATGTGGGCCTGGTACACAAACAGGAAAACGCACATTAGCGACAAGCAGTCTTTGTGAAATCCAGGCAGCAGACTGCCCACAGTGTGCCAAAGAAAGCTTAGCTCTCCTCTTCTGAACACACAGACTTTTGCTTTGGGTGAGCAATATTACATACAAAAGGGAATTTCGACGCTGGACTTTCAGCAATTGTTTCATTTCTCCTAATCCTTATCATTAAATTTTTGTCTGGGTGGTAAAATCCATAAAAACCATGAGTATCATATTTCCTGTGTTTGTTCTGAGTGATAGAAAGCAACATTGTCTAGAATTTTTATCTTTTTGATTGTTTTTCAGGTTGTGAACTAATGATCATATGGTAGAAGTCATATTTATAATGGCTGTTTATATAGTTTACCGCTTTGACCAAATAAAATTTATAATAATTTAAATGTAACGTTGACTGATAAACATAATTGTTACTTTGTTCCAAAATTATTGGGCATAAAAAGGGAGCAGTTTTCATAATTAATGGTTTTAGCCGACAGAGCCAGATTTGGGAGTTTTATTCCTCATTCTGTGTTGACTCTGGTCATCAATATAAAGACATAACAAAGTCAGTTTTTTCTAGAATCCTATTCTCTATGATCTCCTCCTTTCTTTTGTGTCTTTCCTCTTTGTCTTCTTTCTTTCGCGTCATCATATCAGCTGTAGTCATCAATGTCAGCATAACCCCCTTTCCTGCGCCCTGTCCTACCTGACACTCATAGGTATCAGAAGAACAAAGCTTTGGACCTGGCCCCCAATGCTGGGGGCACCTTGACCTCATATCCTCTATCCTCTTGGGCCCTGGAATAAGGTTCTCAGGGCTTTGTCTGGTCCACCTGTATTTAATTCCTGGTGTGATGACCAGAATTAATTTCCTGGCATGTTTATAACAAATCATCACAAAGTGGGTGACTTAAAGCAATAGCAATCTATTCTCTCACACTTCTGGAGGCCAGAGGGAACCATATTCCCACAGAGACACTAAGGAGGATGCTCTCTTGCCTCTTGCCAGCTCCCAGTGGCTGCTGGCTGGCCTCATGGCTCCCATCTCTCCCTCTCCCTTCCGTGGCCTTGGGGCCATTCTGCCTCTGTGCCTGTGTGTCCAGACTTCCTTCTTCTCTAAGGAACTGGTCCTACTGGACTTCATGCCCACCCTAATGTAGTAAGTCTTCATGCTAACTTGAAGACATCAGCAAAGACTATTTCCAAATCAGGTCGCATTCAGCGGTTCTGGGTAGACAGGAACCTCCTCTTCCGGTTCCCACTTCTCTAGCCTGGTTTTCTTGCTGCCATGTTTTAATACCTGACACTGAGCTGGGCACGGGTGAGTGAATATTTGTTAAAAGAATTACACTCCAAAAGCATGTTTTGAAAGGAGCAGGAACAACTCTTGCAATAACTCCAAGATCTGAGATTATGGATTTCCTGAAAAGGGAGGTATAGAAAGAGAGGGGCCTAGGTCAGTGGTAAAGTCAGATTAAGGAAGGCATTTGGAGCCTCAGGCCAACAATCTGCAAGGAAAACAGTTGAGTTCAAGGCCTCAATGGTGCTGGAACAGGATTGCTGACCTGGAGCTATACACAGAGATGGTGGCAAGTTTGGCACAGGAGGCAGAGTGAGAAGGAGCTCTCAGGCCACCCACCCTGTTCAGATCAACTTCCGATTACCTGACATTTTCCATCAAGAAAAATCTATTCTGCCGGCTGGTGACTGCTGTTAATGGGGAGGAAAACATTTTAAAGCCCAGCTATGACTAAGAATTATGTGTGATAGAGTTTGGTAGAAGGAGACCTACTGATGGTGGTGCCTTTACTCTTTTTTCCTGAGAGAAAAGTATAAAGTGGGTTCTTGAGGAGAAACAGCACAACAGACCCTGACGGAAGGAAGGGAGAATTAAAGAGAGGACGCTGCCGGCTTTGAGGCTTTGGTGGGTCTGGCTTCTTATCTCTGTCTCTACAGGGACATGTACAGAAGTGTTTCATATTTGGAGCAGCAGGTTGACCTACATCTTAGCAGGTGTTTCCTGTGGAATGGGCTACACTGGTTATTATCACCAAAATGCTATGCCGAGTGGTAAAATTCGTGGCAGATCACAGATGTCACAAAATGACTGTCGTATTGATTTAGGGTGCTGCAAAGGGCTTGGAGGCCACATTCATCATGCTTAGTGCAGAAGTGGTGTGTGTCAGGTGACGAAAAGAAAATCCTACTAAGTCACTTTTTAAGGTCAGAGCAGAAATTTTACCTAACCAGATGCTCTGCGCAGGGCCTGAGGTAATGCTAGGGCTTGCCGAAGCTAACTTGCTTAGACTCAGGATGTTAGATCAAGATGAGCCTGAGAGTCACTCTCTTTCCCACCAAGAAGAAATGGAGGTCTCCAGGGAGGAAATGATTTGTCCAAAAGCAACGCAGATGACTCAGGGCAAAGTCCAGGTTTGGGCCCAAGTCTGCAGAGCCAGATGTTCCTGATCACACTGCCATGCAGCCAGACTCCTAGAAACACCCTGGCTCATCTCCACCATCCCTCAAAATTCCATAGTTATGGAGGCCTCTGGTCTTGTCAAGTCCAGGCAACATATCAAGCCAAAATACAATACAATACAATACAATAATGAATGTTTATTCATTCATTACATGCTTGTTGTGCTTTGATGCCGTGCCTGATGGTGTACACAGCAGAGAGCTATCATGTGAGCTCCTGAACCAAAGATGCACAGTACTCTGCTGAAGGCCTCAGTCTCAACTTTTGGTCAGGATTCCGGATTTTAACACTTTCTTATATACAGCTTCTGTGGTTCACCTATAAAATATCTCATGTTTTGTAGTGAGCAAGGCAAAGGCACAGTAGTGCGTCTTGGTGTGCACTGATACTGGTCATGAAGCTGAGGCTGGTATGACACCAAGGGGAATAAAGTAACTTATTGAACTTGGATCACTTGGTGATATGGGCAGGGAGGAGCCATGCTCTGCAAACCTTCCAGCCCCACTTTTACATTCATTTAGGGAAAGATACATGTTTGAACTAAAAGGTAGATGCTACAAACCATTGCCTCCACTTTCTATTCCTGCTTGGTCAGGTCTGAATTGTAAGCGTGTTTGATGGAGAACCAAGGACGTGGTCCAAGCACTGTCGCTGGCTTAACACGGTGGAGCTGAGTGCTGTGGGCTGTCTTGTCACTTCAGCTTCCATTGTCAGGAGTTCTTCTGTTGTGTGGCAAAATATCTCAGTCACTTGCAAGCTCTCAGTTCTACCGCCCCAGCTCTACCATGAAGTGCCGCGGGGTCTTCCTTACACTAGGCCACTGCTTCTGTGATTCTCTAATCTGCTGACACAGCTCCACATTCAGGGCATTGAGGTCACGTCACAGAGAACACAGTGCCCCTCCAACATCAAGTTTCATTCCTACTCTGATCTCTGTCATACCAGATACAAAGGATGTTTTCCTAAAGCATCAGTGTCATCATGACATGTTCTCTGCAGATGTGTTTTCAACGACACTAAAATCGGATTGCCTCTATGGTTGAGAACTTACTTATCCCAGCACTCAGAAGGCAAAGGCAGGAGGATCTTTGCGAGTTCAAGACCATCCTGGGCTACAAAGTGAGCTCAAGTTCAGCTAACTTAACGGCATAGCGAGATCTTGTCTCAAAAAAACCAAACCAAACCAAAACAAAACAAAACAAAAAAAAACAAAAAAAAAAAAAAACCAAAGAATTTACTCATCAAATTGGCTGGAAATTTGAATCATATCTTTCATTTTCAAGAATTATAATTTTCTATTCTTGCTTTTTGAATCTAAACATTGAACACTTTTCTTCTCAATGTTATTTTCTTGCAATCTCCTCAACATGCTCTTTCTTCCTATCCTATTGTCCATCCTCTAATTAACCTGTCAGGTGGCCACTGTGCCATGCACTAGTTTTATTAATGGATTTTCATTTTTGATTAAGTGACGTTTCCCCTAGTGCCCACCTCTTCCCCTTTGGACATAGTTTCATCTCTTCTCATCCTACCTGTTTTTAGAATCCATTGCAAGGATCAGTTTCTTCATGATGGCATTTACAGTCACTTAAGTAAATTATTTTATCCCTTATGGGCTCTCTCTATTACTTCCTGAGAATTATAAAATATAGGACCTGATCCTGTTCAGTGTGAAACTTCATTATACATTATTTTGTGTCATTTTCAGTTATTTTCATGAACATTTTACTCATAAAATAGAAGTCTTAACATCGCCCTTGAAGGACTGCCACATTAAAAGTAAACTGTGCAGATCTGTGTCTGGCAAGTAGTTGACCTGTGATGAGTTTCCTTTCCCTTTTTTCCCCTTGTCAGGAGATGAAGGTTATTGATAATACTGTGTTCTGCACAGCAGATATTAGAGTCAAGCACACAGTAGTTCTTAATCAGTACTTATTGATCTGAAGACTCTGACATCAAATGTGTCTATTTGTGTACTCTTGGTTCATCATATTATTAATGTCTTTTTTTTTTGGAAGTACAACAGTACAAGACAGAACAAAGCCAATTGAGACAATGTAGGGAAACTGTACAGAACTTCACAGCAGTTTAGCGGGATAACAGTAACAGGTACCGTAGTATATCTCCGTTATCCTCACAATAGTTGTCCATTCAATCAGGTGTAGCGAAATCAAACCAAATATGGAACATTATAAAACCAATTGAAAGAGAATATTGAATAGAGTAAAGCAATTAATCATAATGAAACAAAACAGTGAAAACAACCTTTGCCTTCAAACAGAAGATAGAAGGAAATCCCCCATA